TTTTTTTTTTGTACTTTTTGGAAAAAAAATGGCAGGGGCAAAAATGTCCAAAGGGGCGGTACAAATTATAAAAACGTGGTTTTCTCTCTAACAAAAAAGTTAATAAATGAACGAGACTGAAGGTTGCGATTGGATATAATATAATCATATAAATAAAACCGATTTTCATTGGAATTCTGATTAAAGTGAATTAATTTTGAATAAAGCTAATTGAGTGAAGGATTTAGTAGAATTTTTAATTTGTATTTAAATAAAATATAATGATTAAATTGGATATAATATAAAAGTAGGTAAAATATTATTAAGTAGATAATTAAAAATATGTGAGTGTATGAATGAATTAGAGTTGATGTGATGTGTAATGATAATTTATTAGTATTATTTAATTATTTTGATAATATTGTGGAGAATTGGTTGGATTTTGAGTTAATTAGTGTAAAAAAATTATTCCATTAGTAAGAATCGATTTTAGCTTGTGTATGTATATGAACAATTCAATGCACACTTAATTCATACTTAAAATCTAATTCAACTTTAACTAAATTTCACTATTCTAAATACTATCATTATAATTAAATAATATCAACCAAATCGTTTGTACACATCACATCAACTTTAATTCACTATTCATTCACTCACATAATTTTAACCAACCGTCATTTCATATCAGCTGTCTCATACTTTTACGTCGAGTCAACTTTACTTATTTTATTTTAAGTATTATTTTAATATAAAATTAAAATTCCACTAACAACTAACTATACTACCTTTTACAAAACTAACCATGGCTAATAAAAAAAAACTCGTTTTGAACGAAAATATTCTTTTACAACCACACTCTAAATCTTTGGGCTTTTGGATATTTTTGTTTATCTGCTTTGCAAATTTTTATAATGTGATTCGATTCTTCGAGTTCGATTCATTAATATTGACAAACAAGAGCTCGATTATTGGCTCGTTTAATTAATGAGTCGAACTCTTAGCTCGTTTACACCCTACGGGTTTCTTTCAATTTGTGGAAAAAGGGGCCAGGCATGATCCGGCTCGAGCTAACTTATTAGACAACGATGGATAAACATGCAATAGCAAATTTAAAGAGATAAAAAAAATTATTTATGACGTTTAATTTTATATAATCACTGTTCACATTTACTGACCTTCGTCTTTATCTCAGCGATTCCATGACACTTGGTAAGAAGCTTACACTTAGTTGTAAAACTCGTTGAAACTCCACTTTGAGTGATACAAATTGCGTTAGATTATAAAGATGTGTTTGCTTTCTTAGGTGCTGATGATTCAAAATATGATTCTTTGCATAGTGAAAATGATTGGCACTTAGCAAAGGAAATTAGTGGGAGATTGAGCTTATTTTATAAAGCGACTGAGTTGCTTTCTGGTACAGAATACCCCACTGCAAATTTGTATATTTCAAAGATTTGTGAGATTAAAATTGCTTTGAATGCTTGGGTTACTTGTGGTATCGATATGGTTGAGTCAATGGCTAAGGAATTGTTGGGTAAATTTAATAATTATTGGCCTGTTTGGGTGGCAACCGTGCTTGATCCTAGGTACAAGTAAGTTAATATTGAATACAAATTTTCACAAATTTATGGTACTAGTGGTGAGTATGAGGTTGAGTAGATTCTGATATTTGTTGTGAGTTGCTCCGTCAATATGAGGCTAAGGGGAAGGGTGGTGTTGGTGGTGATACAAGTGGCTTGATTGATCCTAATATTTGTAATGATCGGCCACTAAGTAAATACGATTTGTATGCCTCTAAACGAGAAAAGAAATCTGCAAAATCAGAGTTGGATACGTATTTGGATAATGATGTTTTACCACACACGCCTAACTTTGATGTTTTGAGTTGGTGGAAGTCTAATGCGATCAAGTCTCCAAATTTGCATCAAATTGCTCGATGTTCTAACAATTCCCGTCTCTACGGTTGCTTCGGAGTATGCTTTTAGTACAAGTGGACAGTTGATTTGCCCCCATCGTAGTAGACTTCATCATAAGACTATTGAGGCGTTGATGTGTGCACAAAGTTGGATTTTAAGCGACCAAGGTAAACATTTCTATTTTTTTTTCTTTTAGAAAAAAACACCCTAGAAGAATAGGGTAAAGGCCGGACTACCAACCTGTATATAGTCAAGACCCTAAAAGGGCTGCAAAATCACAAGTGTACACGTCCAAATAACAAACAACAGAAAGAAAAAAAAAATAATAAAACAACAACCAAAACAAAAAAATTTGAGCCAGGGCTGACAGGTGCCCAGGCTAGCAGTCTGCCTCACGAGTGGGGTAAAAACACACAAAACTGCAAAACGACTACCCAAACCTGAACGACGGATAGCTCATTTGGTCCATCTGTATAAGGGTATGGAGGCGGAGAGAAGAGTCGTCTGGATGAAAAATGCGCCTCAGGGGTGTGGAGGCACCGATGCAAGCGAGGAAGTCAGCGGGTCGACTCCCCTCGTGGAAGATGCGCGAGATCTGATAGCGGACCAACTGAAGTGTGGATCTGATGCACATGAACGGGTACTGAATCTGCTACGAACCCTGGTGGTCTGCAGTCAAGAGAGTGGCGGCAACAGCCGTGTCCAGCTCTATCCAAATGTAAAAAGAGATAGAGGTAAGCATTTCTATTTATACATCAATTTAATTTGATATTTAATTTTTTATTCGCTAAGTTTCTTTTGACTACAAATGTTACTTTTGTTTTTCTTTTTGTATAAATGTAGGAAATACATCACTCGGGGGAAAATGCAATGGTGTTTTATGATTCGGATGATGAGGAGATTTGATTATGGGGTTTTGATAATATATCGTTCTCTTTTACTTACATTTTTTGTGTATGATTTATGATAACATTTGACATAAACTTTTCTTTTTTATTTTTGTATGAAGGTACATTGAGAAGATTCTATTATAGTAGTGGCTGATGTTGGATTTATAGAAGTGGTTAATGTTGTTCGTCGACGGGGTTTGTTGTTTGTCGATGGTTTTGTTGAATTTATAGAAGTGATTGATGTTGAAAAAACAAAGTGGTATTTTTAATTTTTATGGTTTATGCTGTTTGGCATGTTTAGATCTTTAAATTTTAATTTTTGAATTGTAAGACTTATTGTGTTTGTTGGATTATTGTATATTTGAATATTAAGACTGCTCGTGAGTGCTATTTAAGCTTGTAAAATCTTAGTTTTTTTATTATTATTTTTTCTTTGGGTGTAATGTGTAATGTTTAAGGTGATGATTGGGTTAATGGAAGGAAAAAAAAAATATAAGTGGTAGTAGGTACATGTCGGGGTGGGTCGACCTGAATCAGGTCAGCCACAGAGCACGGGTCGAGGCGGCCGGCCCGCCCAGAATTGAGTCAGTTGCACGGTGATGAAGATATGATCTCTGACCCGTCTCGACTGATTACGGAGGCAGCCTCACATCGGGCAAAGGAGCGCAGGACGGGTCGTGACGCTCGAGAGGACCGCGAGACCACGCGAAACAACTGATACCTATCCAAGTGGGCCGCTGACGAGCACGCAGGTGAGGCAAGCAGCGAGCAAACAAGTGTGGTCACACGGACGGGGGAGCACGAGCATCCCGTAACGGGTCAAGAGAGTGGGACGACCTAGCGGACACGCACATGATAGGCCCGAATAAACCGCGCATGGGCGAGGGGACGCATCGCTGGGTGACACTCGCGTATACATGGCGACCCGAGGAAGCCTCGTTGGTCAAGGAATGACACGTGACCGAGAGATGCTTGGAGAGCAAGTCTTCTAGGAGGCTTAGGGTGATCTTGGAGTCATATAAATATTCTATTTCCTAGTTTATAGTTTCCATGTAGATGAAAATAAGTATGTGCCTAATTATCTAGCATGTGCATAATTATTTCTTTCCTTAGATTTTGTATTTTATTCTTAATAGGTTAGTATTTCTATTTTGTATAGGCTTAAATGTTCTCTCCCATAAATAGGCCTATGTGGTTGTTCAATTTCACTATGCAAGTAATAAAATATCGAAAAGCTCGTCTTGAGCACAACTTTCTCGTGTTAGAACTAGGCCGATTGTGCGGGTTTTATCACAAATTATTGTGTCTAAACGAAGGTCGTTAGTGCGCGTTTATACACAAATTGGGACAAGATACACGATTATTCATCACACAGGCCCGACCTGTTGGACCCGTCGCGAGTGGCGGGGCAGGTCGGGTCCATAGGGCAAAAATGCGGGCAAATTTTGAGTCTGCAGGTACCTGGCCCAACCTGGTCCATTACCATCCCTAGCAAACGGTCCAATTTTGACCGCAGATTTGATCCGGGTCACGTGCGAATATAAAAAAATAAAAAGAAAATGATCGTTGATTTTCAACTATCAGAATTTTTTGACTGTCAATTTGAATTGAGTTCCGGGCCGACCCGACTAATAATTAATAAAAATTACAAAAAAAAAATAATAGAAAAATTGCAGGCTAGACCACCGGGCCAGGGTTATGAAATCCATGACCCTGAATCAGATTGGTTAAAATCCGATCCGGTCCCAGACCCATGTCAACGGGCTTGTCCGGGCTGGGTCGACATGTCGGGCAGCTTAAGCCACCTCTAAGTTTANACTCGATAATTTTTTTAAAAAAATTTCGAATTTCGAAATTAGTTATCCTAAGTCCTAACCTCCGCGTCGAACATATCCAGTGCAGGCAACAAAAAAAAATATCCCAACGGCCTACAAAAACTAAACCCGCCGCCATTAAATACTAATTAAATTAAATTAAATAAAGCAATGTCCATAACGGCACGAGTCCATATAGGTACACATAACGGCCCACCAGCGTGACAGTTCAAATTCAAAACCTCCTCCATCCCGACACGTGTCCTTCTCCCTCAACCGCCCCACCTACTATAACCGGTAATCGTAACGACCCCCCATCTCCATCTTAACCGGCTCTTTCGGTTACCCCCACCCACATACCGCTCCATTTCCACTACCTGTAGATATATATACATACAGATCATCATATGTCAATCAATATAAATATATAAAGATTTAATTAAATTGAGAAGTTAGCGTTTTCGCCGGTGGTTAACCATGGCTGCAGGGGACGGAGCTCCTAGCAAGATCAAGGGCCCGTGGAGCCCGGAGGAGGACGACCTGCTCCGGAGGCTCGTTAATATCAACGGCGCGAAGAATTGGTCGCTGATAAGCCAGTCGATTCCGGGGAGATTGGGGAAATCGTGCCGCCTCCGGTGGTGCAATCAGCTCTCGCCGGTGGTGGAGCACCGGCCGTTCACGGCGGAGGAGGACGGAATCATCCTCAGGGCGCACGCCGAGCACGGCAACCGTTGGGCGAAGATCGCAAGACTGCTCAGCGGACGCACGGACAACGCGATTAAAAACCATTGGAACTCGACGCTCAAGCGGCGGCTCTCAGGCGGCGGCGGCGGCGGCGAGGCGCGGCTGTCACAGGTTCTGAGGAGATCGGAGAGCGGCGACGTCTCTGCGGCGATGATCCGTCGGTTGAGTTCGAGTCCGGAGAGCCTATCTCGGTCGGAATCCGGCGACGGCGGCGGCGGCTCTGAGGAGAATGTGAACATCTTCTTTCCGGTGAACCGGAATTCGTTTGCGGAGCGTCCGGCGTCGCCGCCTCCGGCTGAATCGGCGGCGATTGTGGAAGATACGGATTGCGACCAGTTAACTGCGTTGACTCTGTCTTTGCCGGGGACCGGCGGCAGCAACCCGCCGCCGCCGGTGGAGGCGTGTTTGAGGCGCCACACCCGCGGAGAAAGCAGCCAGTCAATGGCGACGGCGGAGGAAGACGAAGAGGACGGGAAGAGAAAAACGGCGTCGTTGGATCCAGATTTGCTTGCGCTGATGCAGGACATGATTAAGGCAGAGGTGAGAAATTACTTTTCAGGGCATGAGGAAGAGATTATCATGCCTCCTGGGTTTAAGCGCACTGGGATTAGTAAGGTTAAGGATTGATTAGTTTCTTGATTAGATGTAAATTGGCGAAATTATCAAAAGATAAGCACTGGGATTGAGGAGAGTAATTTTTTTGTTTTACTGTGCCCAGCTATGTTGAAATTTTTTGGTTAAAAAAAATCTGATTTCTGGGCACAGTATAGCAAAATTATTTTGATTAAAGATTAATCAGATTATATGGACCTTTTCATTATCCTCTTCACATTTGTTCTCTTTTTGGCTGTTGATAGTATGCAAAAAATGTAGTATTTTTTCTCCTTCAAAAGAAATTGAAAAGGTTTAGCTTTGACTGGTATATATTCATATTTTCTGTGAATTTTCAATAAGAACTTTGTAGTACAACACATCTGGAAACCTCGGTTGCCATTGCTTAGTTTCAACTTGATTTTATCCAACAGTGTTACTATAGCAGAAATTCTGAGCCCACAAGGTTTGGGCTTTATCAATAATAATCCAAATATTTTAATGGAGCTCAATACTCAACAAAATGGCCGGTATGTAGCATATCAGATTATTCTTAATGGGCGTTCGGGCCCGTCAGGCCCTACAACAATATACTAAATTTATTAACTAATCAATAAATAATACAATCTTTGTCCATAGAGCTAAAGTTTTTATTCAAAATTTAGTACTCACTTATTTAAAAAGAAAATACAATTTAAATTTCTCAAAAGCAACCAAGAAACTTATTAATTGAGTGTAACATAATTTACGGTTTCTTTGATAGTAGTGT